GTAATTGCGTAATGTTTTTATTTTTAGACATTGTGTTATGTTTTTATTTTTACAAATTGCGTAATGTTTCTATTTAGAGATTGCGTAATGTTTCTATTTTAAGTAATTGCGTAATGTTTCTTTTTTTAAAAAATTGCGAAATGTTTCTATTTTCAGAAATTGCTAAATTTTTAAATTTTTAGAAATTGTTTTCTATTTTAGAAATTGCGTAATGTTTCTTTTTTTTAAAAATGCGCAATGTTTCTATTTTCAGAAATTGCAAAATTTTTAAAAAATTGCGTAATGTTGCTATTTTTAGAAATTGCGTAATGTTCCTATTGTAAGTAATTGCGTAATGTTTCCATTTTAAAAAATTGCGTAATTTTTCTATTTTTAGAAATTGCGTAATGTTTCTACTTGTAGAAATTGCGTAATGTTTCTATTGTTAGAAATTGCGTAATATTTCTACTTTTAGACATTGCGAAATGTTTCTATGTTTAGAAATTGCGTAATGTTTCTATTTTTAGAAATTGCGTAATGTTTGTATTGTTAGTAATTGCGTAATGTTTTTATTTTTAGACATTGTGTTATGTTTTTATTTTTACAAATTGCGTAATGTTTCTTTTTTTTAAAAATGCGTTATGTTTCTACTTGTAGAATTGCGTAATGTTTCTATTGTTAGTTATTGCGTAATGTTTCTATTTTTAGCCATTGCGAAATGTTTCTATCTTTAGAAATTGCGTAATGTTTATATTTTCAGAAATAATAAACAAAACTAATGTGACAAGACAGACCAACTAAATTTATAAAAAGGAAACGTTAAGATATGTTCAAACCTTTCTATGTTTGCGTTTAGAAAATGTAAAAAGTCGAGCGTTGCCCCCGCCCGGCGGTGGCTCTTGTTTTGTTTGTGTATCCATGATAAAAGATATTAAAATTCGTCTCCCGGGTACTAACAACAGAAATATTACGCAATTTCTACAAATAGAATCATTACACAATTTCTAACAATAGAATTATTACGCGATTTCTACAAATAGAATCATTACGCAATTTCTAAAAATAAAAACATTACGCAATTTCTAAAAATAGAAATATTACGCAATTTCTAAAAATAGAAACATTACGCAATTACTTAAAAAAGAAACATTACGCAATTACTTAAAATAGAAATATTACGCAATTTCTAAAAATTTAAACATTACGCAATAATAACAATAGAAACATAACGCAATTTCTTAAAATAGAAACATTACGCAATTTCTAATAATAGAAACATTACGCAATTTCTGAAAATAAAAATATCAATTTCTAAAAATAAAAACATTACGTAATTTCTAAAAATAAAAGCATTACGCAATGTCTAAAAATAAAAACATTACGCAATTACTAACAATAGAAACATTACGCAATTTCTAAAAATAGAAACATAACGCAATTTCTAAAAATAGAATCATTACGCAATTTCTACAAATAGAAACATTACGCAATTTCTAAAAATAGCAACATTACGCAATTTCTAAAAATAGAAACATTACGCAATTTCTACAAATAGAAACATTACGCAATTTCCATAACTAGAAACATGACGCAATTTCCATAAATAGAAACATTACGCAATTTCGATAAATAGAAACATTACACAATTTCTATAAATAGAAACATTATGCAATTCTATAAATAGAAACATTACGCAATTCTATACATAGAAACACTGTTGTTGTTGTTGTTGATGATGATAATGATGATGATGATAGATCTGTTCTGTTATAATATGAAGTTGATCCCTTCAATAAAAATAAAGTTACAGTCAGTTACCGCCAAAACAATAAAAATTTCAACAATTTGACCTTCAAAGACAATGTCAATAATGAGTGAAGGTCAAAGTCTTTCGGTAAATTTTGAACAGTTATCTTTGAAGATTATTATGTTCAAGTTTGAAGACAATCCAATCAAAAATAACAAAGTTACAGCCAATAGTAGCCAAAAAATGTTTTTTGTTTGTTTGTTTGGATTTTTACGGCACGTCAACACATAACTGGCAAATCGTGCCAAATGCTATAATAGGCTTAAAATATTATGTAAAACATTGTAAATGATAATAGAAATGAGCCAATTAGATCCTAGAATACAAGTTTATCTCTTTCAAATAATCAACTATGTTTTTTGATGGAATTGTATTTAGCAGTTCTTTGAGTGAATTTACAGAATAACATCTATTGCGGGCCTGTGAAAAATCATGACATTCAAGAAGAAAATGCTTGACAGTAAACTTTTCATTACAACCTACACAGAAAGGGGCATTGTCATTTGTGAGGAGATAAGAGTGGGTAATTTTAGTGTGTCCAATTCGGCATCGAAGAAGAACTGTTTGATCACGGCGGTTTGACAGAGATAGAGATGGTGACATATCAAGAGATGGATTTATATCGTGAAGTTTATTAAAAACGGCATTGTCCCAATTTGCTTTCCATTCAGATGATACGAGTTTATTTATAGCCGGTCTAAAATCACAAGCAGATAATAATAAGTCAGTTTTTTGAAAATTTAATGATTGTTTAGCTAAAGAATCTACTTTTTCATTTCCTCGTATTCCTACATGGCTTGGAATCCAATATAATTTAACATATTTTGTTTTAAGTATATCATGAAATCGCAAAAGAAGTTTCTCTACCATGATATTGTCAGATTTTTTATTTTTAATGGATATTAAAATAAAAAGCGAGTCAGAAAATATCACAAATTTATCGTGGGTATGCAGTGCTATGTATGACAATACTAAATCGATAGCTTTTGATTCAGCAGTAAAAATTGATGCATTATCTGGTAACCTCATACTAGATGTAAAATTATTTTCAAACACAGCCCCACATACTTAGCAACCTTCTTTTGAACCGTCCGTATAAATATGTATAAAATCTTCATGTTCTTCCTTAATTGCTAGAAACTTCTCTTTGAAATATTCAGGTGAATTTGATGCCTTTTTTATATTTGAAATGTTAATATTTATTTCCGGGGAATTATAAGTCCAAGGTGGAACATCCTCATCGTCATTTTAAAGGATACTGTCTGGATTAATTTTAAGTTTATCTAAATCATCTTTTAAACGAAGGCCTAATGGTTTAATTTCCTTTGGTTTGTTAACAAATTTTTCAGTATAACTTGGTTTGAAAATAATATTTTTAGCTGGATTTTCCCTATTAGATGAAATTCTAGTTGCATATTGAAGTGATAGTTTTTTACGACGAAGATAAAGCGATGGTTCCCCAGCTTCCGCATATAGACTTTCTACAGGTGAAGTGCGAAAAAGCACCTAAAGCTAAACGTAAACCCTGGTGATGTATGGTATCTAGCATTTGAAGATATGATTTTCTTGCGGACCCATATACTACAGAACCATTATCTTATTTTGATCGGATAAGACTTCTGTATAATTTCAGTAATGTGAAAGAATTTGATCCCCAATTTGTACTTGATAAAACCTTAAGTAAATTTTAAAGCTTTCAGGCATTTAGTTTACAAATGTTTAATATGTGGTTTTAAAGAAAAGTTTTTTATCAAATACAATTCCTAGAAACTTAGCTTCATCAACTACTGGAATTTAGAACCAGATATGTAAAGTTCATGGTCATTATGTTGTTTTCGCAATCGGCAGAAATGAACACATTGAGTTTTTGACTTTTGAAAATTTAAAACCCATTTTCTATTTGCCCACTTCTGAATTTTATCTAAATTTTGTTGAAGTTGCCGTTGAATTGTTCTCATACTTTTCGATCGATAGCAGATTAAGAAAAAATCGTCTACATATAGAGAACAATCTATGCCTGGTGTAAGAGCGCTAGCAATATTGTTTACTTTAAGGCCTAAAAGTGTAACAGAAAGTATGCTTCCTTGAGGAACACCTGGTTCTATGAATATTTCAATAATTTGACCTTCAAAGTCAAGGTCATTTATGAGTGAAGGTCAAGGTATGTCTAGTTATTCTTAAGGGATATCCCTGAAGATAATTATGTTCAATTTTGAAGACAATCCATTCAAAAATAACAAAGTTACTGCCAATAATAGCCAAAAAAATGAAAATTTCAATAATTTGACCTTCAAAGTAAAGGTCATTTTTTGGTGAAGGTCAAGGTCTGGCTGGTTATTTTTAAGGGATATCCTTGAATATTATTAGGTTCAATGTTTCTATTTTTAGAAATTGCGTAATGTTTCTATTTTTAGAAATAATAATCAGAACTAATGTGACAAGACAGACCAACTAAATTTATAAAAAAGAAACGTTAAGATATGTTCAAACCTTTCTATGTTTGCGTTTAGAAAAAGTAAAATGTCGAGCGTTGCCCCCGCCCGGCGGTGGCTCTTGTTTTTTAGGTGTATCCATGATGAAAGATATTAAAATTCGTCTCCCGGGTACTAACAATAGAAATATTACGCAATTTCTACAAATAGTAACATTACGCAATTTCTAAAATTAGAAACATTACGCAATTTCTAAAAATGGAAACATTACGCAATTACTAACAATAGAAACATTACGCAATTTCTAAAAATAGAAACATTACGCAATTTCTAAAAATAGAAACATTACGCAATTTCTAAAAGTAGAAACATTACGCAATTACTTAAAATAGAAACATTACGCAACTACTAAAAATAGAAACATTACGCAAATGAAAATGACCTGATAGCGATATTTCTAAAGTTTTCTGCAATTTCCTCCTCTTTTGGGTACCTCTACGTGGTGAGGAGGAGTAACATATGTCCATTATGGGCGTGCGCTGCTGTGCGCCTGTATGACGGTATTTTAAAAAAAAAAAATTATGTGCATTGAATTGTTTTCATTTCGGGACCGTGTAAAATCAATAAAATCTTCAAGTATTTAAGAAATATATATCAAAGGACAAGGCATGACCAGCCGATTGACCAAAAAGCCGGGCTCACTTGGTCACCCGTCTACCCTAAATCAGAGGCCACAGCAGTGTGTTAGGAGTACTGGAGATCCCCGGGTATCCTTCAACTACCAGGGGCCCGTCTTATCAACGGTCGTACGACCATTTTTATCGTACGATTGTCGTACGTCGATCGTACGCTTTTGGCGGTGTCTTATCAAACGTCGCAGATTTCCTTAATCTTACGATTATCGTAAGATCATGCATTTTTTCTACGATTGCTAAGTAGCAGTCGCAGATCAAACAAAATGGCCGCCGTACTTCTTGTGAATCGACAACGCCGAAGGAAAAGCCGGACTTTTAGGCAGCGAATGGTGCATTTGGATTGCCTGAGTGATCAGGAAGTTGTGGCCCGCTATCGGCTTGATAAAGCTGCCATTTACGAGCTTGAAAGTATTTGCCGACAAGACCTTTCACCTTTGACAGGCCGGTCTTTTGCTGTTAGCAGCTTGACGAAGGTAAAAAATAAAATACTACTGTATAGTGTACATAAACCCATAGCAACGGCTCGCGTGCGAGTATAACGTTGTGGGAAAACAATTACCGGATAAAAGACACTAGATCTAATTTTTTTGACACGATACACCTAAATTTGATAGTTTTAATCAGCGTAATATAAGGTATTTTTTACTGTAATGGGGAATCTTTACACTCTTAAAATCATTATAATATATATATATTATTTGAATATTTAATCATTTCGTTATTTTGTTAACACCATATAATGTTTTGCTCGTTATAAATGCTACATATTCTTCAACATTTTCTTATAAATGCATGAAGTCCTACATGAATTAATGTTCTGTTTTCGTTAGCATTTGCTAGTTTGAAATCTATGTAAAATGCTTAAATAATCCAAGTCATCCAAAATAATTTTTTCCAAAACACATGTTTCCATCGATATACAAAAACATATAATCTGTATTCTACGGTGGCACAAAGGTGACATGTGTGTGTTTCTATATATATCTCGTGGCCACGAGATACTATGTCGTGGCCACGAGTTACTAAGTCACAGTGACGCTAAGTGTAAAATTAGCGACAAATCAATAAGTTGTATAAATTCTTCTTTTACAGGCTGGTGAAGTAGGGGTATCCTTGTACTACAGCACATGTCTAGTTAATTAGGGAAAGTAACATAAATGGTGTAATCTGATTGGTTAATTATCACGTGGCCACGACTTACCTATCTCGTGCCCACGACATAGTATCTCGTGGCAACGAGTTAGCTATCTCTCGGCCACGACTTCGTAACACGTGGCCACGACATAGTATCTCGTGGCCACGACTTAGCTATCTCGTGGCCACGACTTAGTAACTCGTGGCCACGACTTAGTAACTCGTGGTCACGAGTTAGCTATCTCCTGGCCACGACTTAGTTACTCGTGGCCACGACATAGTATCTCGTGGCCACGACATAGTATCTTGTTGCCACAACTTAGTAACTCGTTGCCACGGATAAATAAAAACACACACCTAAAAATCATATAAGATCTAGATATATTTTTATCAAAGTAATTTTATTTCAAGCACATCAATAAAGCAATTCGACTTTCTTTCATTGTAGGTTCTTATTGGACTTCGATACCTCGCAAAAGGAGATTTTATATCAGAAGTTGGAGACCTCCACGGGGTGTCTAAAGCCAGAGCTGCAGTTTACATTCACCAATTCATACGAAGTGTAAACCAGGGCTGGGAATCAAAACTGCGTCGTATCCTACAAAATGTAAACAAACGCCGCCATCTTGGAACGAAAAACGTATGTTTTTGTTAATAACTTTTTTTGTTGGAAATGACTGAAAACCAGATATATGTATTAACACGCTACACTATTTTCCGCTTCGTTCGGTATATGTTGCTTCCACAACTATTTTGTAAAACAAAAGTTATAGCGAACTTGCAACTCGAAGCAGGGCAGAATTTTTATGAAATTGTGTGGATACGACGCAGTTCATATTGCTTTTTGTATCGTTTTTTCCTTCAAATCAGTAATATTTATATTTCAGAGTTCACCATAAACTTCGAAATATAATTTTGCATCATTTACTAACAAATTCTCTAAAAAAAGATGTTTATTTTCTAAGAAAATAATATGCTTTTTACGAAATGATACGACGCAGTTGAAAATGAAATATGATACGACGCAGTTGTATTTTTGGTTGTATTTTTTGTTTTTTTCAACAGGGATAATTTATAAATTTATAATATATTTCTTTTTTTATGGAATAATCACTTGCCCTAGATACCAAAATCCCAGATCATTTACGGTGTATAGCAATGTTATGTTGCTTTTGATTATTTAGAATACATTGTGTCATGTCTAATATAACATTTAATTTGAAAGTTTACATTGCGGAAGCTACTTTTCAGTTAAACATGAACATGTAACCTAATTGATCATAATATCTGAAATAATTTCTTATATTTTCCCGTATGTTCAATATCATCCCTATTTTTTTTTTTTGCCAAAAAAATGTAGAAATCTATTAACTTGAATTCATTTTGGCTAGCTACGCTCCAAGTTACATGTAACTGTGGTTCTGCATGTTCTGGGTATATGACTGCTTTTTGTGTTCAAACTTTTACTCTACACATTAGCTTTACTAGGGGCGAGGACCTCAGGCGCGCCTTTGTGCATTATTTTAGGCAAAATGTTGCACCTGCAGAGAACCATCGACATTTTGAAACTAGCTTGATAGGTTTTCCAGACGAAAGAATAAAAAGTCCCTGGCGGTTTTCAAATTCATAGCAGTTCAGTTCAAGTGATTTGAGTTCAGTAAACATAAACAGTTCGGCCTCGGTCGGACACACCTGTGTGATTTGTTTTTCAACAAAATTTGTTAACGTCAGCTGTACAAATAAGCAGCTTTCTTATTAACTTCTAGCGTGAAGTTTTAAGATTATAATAATTTGAATTCATTATAAAGAGAGTAACATTTAAATTTCTTATTTCGATATGACTAGCAGAGAAATTTTCAATTTAACAGGGGGTAATCCTCTGTGAAGTCATTTTCTGAAAACTTTTGTTTAAGTTTTTAGGCAATTCATTATCAAATAAAAATCTAATAAAAATCACACTTTAGTATGAAGGTATGTTAAGATGCCATGTCTCTAGTCTGTTGAAAATTCGATGCGATAATCTGACCTAAATTTTCTGTTCAATATTGTAAAAAATTCTTCAATACTGTTGAAAGATGGTGTCTGCCTATATCTGTATCAAATTTATCGGTGCACAGCGTAAAATACCCTTGCAAAACGGACACATTTTTCACAAAATAATTTGTAGTTGTATCATATGTAACTCGATTTTGAAAATTTAAAGTTTTTTAATGGAGAAGAATGATACTTAAATGCAAATATAGAAAATACATTCCGTAGACCTTTCCTCATCGGCGATACGACAAATCAGCGGTAAAGTTCCGCGGCGCAGAACATAAAATGACTAAACGGAACGCATAACCTACTTGCAAAAATATATTGTAATATAATTTTAAAAATTCAATGTTCAGTTTCAAATAATAAAGCTCATGTGTTCTCACCGATTATTAAGAAAACGAATACAATAAAATCGGCACGCAAAAGACATAAGTAATAACGGAATTGACGGAAATTGTTGCAATTACAAGTAACAAAGGTAGGCATGCAATTTGCGCATAGCTCTCTTCCGATAGCACTGAGACCTTTTCAAAATTTGTAATTCTTTCTTTTTAAAAAAAAAAAAGAAAAAAAAAGGGTCATTCCTGATTAATACAGGGTCAAGGAGAGGTTACACTGGAATATTGAATTTTGTATCAAAAATAGTAATCACTCCCATTTCGAACTCATGGGAACAATTTTAGAAGCATGCTTAGGCAACACTGGAACACGTTGTCATATGGGTGTGCGATCACGTGTTTCAATGTATATTGCATTTGATACAGCTTTTCGGAATATGTAGATGCTTATGATAGGTACTAAAATGCGACCGAAAAATGTAGCCTTAATAGAATTGTATTACATTTCCATTTTTATGGAACCAATGAGTGCCCTCTGCTTTTGACTTAAGTTGTAAACAAGAAATGTTGTTGGACGTTATTAGCAAACCTAGCACATAATTTAAAAAGTTTAACCAATATGCAGCCTGCAATGAAAATACAACTGCGTCGTATCATATTTTCTTTTCAACTGCGTCGTATCATTTCGTAAAAAGCATTATTTTCTTGGAAAATAAACATCTCTTTTTGATGAAAGTTTAGTAAATGATGCAAAATTATGTTTTGAAGTTTATGGTGAACTCTGAAAATAAGTATATAATTGATTTGAAGCAAAAACCGGTACATGACGCAATATGAACTGCGTCGTATCCACACAATTTCATAAAAATTTTGCTCCGCTTCGAGTTGCAAGTTCGCTATAACTTTTGTTTAACAAAATAGTTGTGCAAGCAACATATACCGAACGAAGCGGAAAATAGTGTAGCGTGTTAATACATATATCTGGTTTTCAGTCATTTCCAACAAAAAGAGTTATAAACTAAAACATACATTTTTTCGTTCCAAGATGGCGGCGTTTGTTTACATTTTGCAGGATACGACGCAGTTTTGATTCCCAGCCCTGTAAACCTTCGATTAAAGAATATTAGGTGAGTATGTGGAGCTGTACACATATACAAGTAATTTTACTTACTTATAATAAATTCTATAATAGGACAGGGTTATATTGAATCTAATTCAATTTAATTTCTGAGACACTTCGTCAATTAGCATCCATTGATATTCTCGTGATTACATTCATACACAGTACTTAATTAGTCTATTGCTCAATACAAATCTGTGCAAAATTTTATCTATTTTTACTAGATATATTATTTGAAAAAAAACTAAGGCAATCCTGTATATCACAGGTAAATATGCACCAGATGTTTGCTGTATGTTTGGTACCCCATATGTAAAACATATGTGTTTCATGTGTTTTGAACAACATGTGTTTAAAGACATGTGTTTTTCATATGAAAGATTAACATATGTAAACAGTACCATATGAAAAGCATGTGTCATCAAGGATATGTGGAACTCATGGTTATCACATGTTTCTATATGAATAAGTTTTCATAATTATGTATAATATATGTGAACTTTCATATATTTTTCATATGTATTATATATTCTGCAAACTTTACACTTTTTACAGTTTCTATTAGATTCTAAATGATTGTACATAAATTTTTAAAAGATACTTTGTTCATGCATATATATGTGCAACTTACGGTTCTTTAATCAGTACATATACTCTTTTCATTTAACGTCTATAATTAAATACCACTGTACTTTTATTTCAGATTTCCAACTGAGAGGTTAGTCAAGTTTACATCATTTGAAGAGGAAATTCTATGAGAAATGTAGAATTCCAAACGTAATCGGTAATTGATCATTAATTACTGAACATTAGTTTCATATATACATATATATTAAAAGCAATGTTTTAAAATATAATAATTATGCTTTTGGAAATGCTTGTTATATTGTTTCTACAGGCACAAGTGACACTTCTTTGTATACAATCCTTACTAAGAATTATCAATTCAGATTCTTTTTTTGTAGGAGCAGTAGATGGAACCCTCATCCCTATTCAGGGTCCATCACAGGATGAGGCAGCTTATGTCTGCAGAAAAGGATTCCATGCTCTTAATGTTCAGGCAGTAGTCGATGCTGAAATGAGGTACACTATTTTATGTCAAACATTCAAGTCAGTAGTGTGTTAAATTACAAAAAAATTATAAAATAGAATCTAATTTAGTTTCTTAATCCAAGAAGTGTCCCAGGAGGAACTTATTTTCATTTGATAACTGTTTAAATCAATATAATGAAGATGAACTTAACATACACTTTTATAACATTAAAATGCTAAGGAGAAAAAAGGGAAGCATACTACTGGCAATTTATAAAAAAAAAGTTCAACTTCACATAAATTTATTAAATCAATATATTTCCTGTAGATTAATGTATCAAATTGATGTAGCTGTTGTAGATTTACTTATCAAATAAATATACTTCTTGTAGATTCACAGATGTTGTCTCAAGGTGGCCTGGTTCACAGCATGATGCGGCCATTTTCAATGCTTGTGGGTTAAAGGTAAAATTTTTCACAATAAATTTCTCATGACATGAATTAAAGCTGCATTACCCTTAATGGACTTAAAATCATATTAGTAAATGCTTGTGCTAACCTCATACTAAATGATTAAGGACAAAAATATTTTTTCTTTCTGATTTTATCTAGCTTTTGTGAATTTTCTAAAGAAAATTATATGTCATCTGAAAATAACTGCTTCATGATGATCTATCATTTTTCAGACACATTTAGAACAAAGTAACAATGGGTTGTTATTGGGGGATAGTGGGTATCCTCTAAGGAGGTACCTCTTGACCCCAAAGGTGAATCCGACAACACCACAAGAGGAAGCCTTCAATAAACACCATAGCAGAGGCAGAATGGTGGTAGAAAAAGCCTTTGGTATACTGAAGTCACGTTTCAGGTAAAATATTGCATATCATTCAAAGTAATTATTGTATTAGTTTAGTTTATAGTACAAATTTATTTTAGTTCGATTGCGTTGGAAGCTATAAGCTTATTGAAACACTCTTGAATCCGTTCCTGGAACCAACCAGTACTAATTAAGCAATGAATGTAAAGTTTCTTGCTCAAGGAAACAACGGCATGGCCCTAACAGGATTTGAACCCACGCGGTCAGCAATCCTTAGATTAATAGTCCGACGCGTTAACCACTCGGCCACGCCGCCAAATTGTATTGATCCATTTTATCATAATGTGTTTCACTATATGACCTTTATTGATAATGAATTTACAATATGTTTATATGATGCTGTCCCAACTTTGATCTCTACTTCTGGCCCTATTTTTGTGAAAATGTCATGCCACTGAAGTAATGACATACCACATGAAACAAATAACATACATGAGCCGTGTCACGACAAAACCAACATAATGGGTTTGCGACCAGCATGGATCCAGACCAGCCTGCGCATCCGCGCAGTCTGATCAGGATCCATGCTGTTCGTTTACAAACCCTATAACAAGTAGAAAAACTGTAAGCGAACAGCATGGATCCTGATCAGACTGCGCTCTGGTCTGGATCCCTGCTGGTCGCAAACCCATTATGTTGGTTATGTCATGACGCGGCTCATATATTTATGCCTTTATTGCAGATGCCTACACAAAAGTGGTGGTGTTCTACCGTTTTCACCAGAAAAGAGCAGCCAAGTTGTGGTAGCATGTATGAGGCTACATAACTTTTGTAAAACTAGAGGAGTACAAGAGCCTGTGGAGATCATCACACAGGATGATGATGATGATGATGATAATAATTTACCAAATGGAGATGACAGAAGTAATAATAACATTAGACAGGAATTAATTAATTTATTCTGAAAAAATGTTTTTAAGACATAGAAATTAAAATATAATTACTTGTTCTGGTCACTTGAAATATAACATTTCACTCAATTAAAACAATTAAATCTATGTTTTGATCTCAATTAAGCACCCATGTATTACTTAAAAGAATTACTTTGTATTTCACATAAACCAAAATTAGCACAGTACAGTAGTTAACTTATTGTCAGAGTCAATGATACCTTTGATAAGAAAAAATTATATTTGTAATGAATAATAAACATTAAAGGGGTTAAGTAGTAATATTAAATAATATAAGTAAACTATACATGTGAAAGCTATTCAGTTAATATGTTGAATATTAATTTGTGATTTCATGAAATACATTAATTCATTGAATCATTGTGAAAAATAACTACTAAAAATATAGCTTTCAGAAATATCCCCTTGTCTTACAACTATACCTGTTAAATATTAATAATTCAAATACTGCACATTTTTTAACATCATTTTTCATTGGAATACAATGATGTTTAAATTTATGATTGAAGAATTTTTTTCCCTCTAAAAATGTTGTTTGCTGTATTATGACTTTGTTACAAAGATTTCTGATAAGTTATATGGCCATTTAAAAGAATTTGTTTGCAAATTATAACCCTCACCTTGTGACTAGGTTATATAAGCAAACAACCATTTAAATGGGGTAATATAACCTGTCAAAATTCTTTTTTAACTAACAGTATAACAAGTTTCATGTTGATGTCTTTTATAGCTTTTAAATCATTCTATATTACAGGCAATTATGTAAATCCAAGGGTATATAATGAGTGTAAATTTGATTTAAGTTATTACCATCCTAATGGGCACTATAAGGAACTAAAAAATTGACATCATAGGTCAATAAATAATAAATGCTAAAACAAAACCGTCTTAAATTGACAGACCAAATTAAAGTATTATGCTTATCCAAGGGTCTATAATGAGTGTAAATATGATTTAAGGTAGAACACCCTAATGGGCACTATAATGAACTGTAAAATTGACAACATAGCACAGTTATATGCCCTAAATATCACCTGTATGCAAAATTTAAACAAAATTTACCGTGTGGTTTATGAGTTATGGAAATTTTTCTGAATAAAACTTTGCCATTTAGAAGGGCTTTTTTCAGAAATAAGGAATCTCTAAATAATCTATAATATCATCATTATGAAAAATGTTTTCCTATTGCTCATTGTTAAGAAACAAAAAATGACATTTAGGTAACAAATTAAACAAGCAAAATGATTGTTTTTAAACTATTTTTTTTAATATGTATAAAAATGTAACCCTACCCCACCCACTTTTAACACTTATTTGACCATTTCCATATGTAAAAAGCCTTACTTAAAATATCCCTTAAATTTTCCACAATGAGGGGCTGTTTTCAAAGTTTGCCATAATTTTCTTAAATGTATATTGGTTGGTCTTGCAAAATATAAAAAACTTTTACCATGTAGTTTTTATTTTTTAAAACTTTGAAAATATCTGGTATCATATTTGCTATTAAATTTGGCATTATTTAGTAAATAGATACCTACAATAATTTAGTTCTGGCTTCCATAACTTTATATGTCGCTTTTATTTTGACGTTATGACAGTAAAGAACAGGTCTAGCAATACCTGTTCGCTGAAGTATCTTGAGCTAACAATAATTATATAATTAAAATGAAACACTTTATTCTTCCATTAGGAATCTGATAGATTAATAAAAAAGTTTAAAAGAAAAAGAAAATTGACCCTTCTGGGGATTGAACCCACGGCCCTCATTTTCAATGTAGTTAACAGTAGTTCTAGCCTATTTGAATACTCTTCAAAGCGGTGGTAATGCATTAGGATGGTAATACCTTAAGTTAAAATATGTTTAGGAAATAATATCAGTCTTTTCAATTTAACAGGATAATTTGTTAAGTAATTTATCAAAGTTTGCATTTAAGGTTTTGAAATTTTCATTTAAAGATGAAACTTGGGCAACTAAATCCCTCATTACAGCAGTTTGCTGTATAACTAGTTCTTCAACACGATGACCTGAAATAAAATAAAGAATATATTTACAACCCTTAAATCAATACAATCTATTTCCTTTGTAAATACCATTTGTTTTCATAATGTATTAATTATAATTTTAAAGCCTTTTGTTCCGTCATTGGCATAGCAGCAAATTAAATGTTTTTCTGATAACAGACAATCTTGTTCGATAAAATTTATTTGTCGCCTACAGTCATAATATTTTGAAAATGTGACTTTATCAAAACTGAGATAAACTGCCATCCTACATAAAATGAAATTATGATCTATATGAATGAAGAATGTTGAAGCTTTAAATTGTTCGAGCAGTAAAGTACTTGTGGAAAAGCTCCATTTTTGCATGAAAAAACTTTGATTACAATCATAACTGTTAGATAAATAGATAACTAGATGATATTTATGATGGTCATTGTTTTTAATTAATTACATGTATCATACTCACTTTCATCTCTAGATGTGTTTGCTTCCGGTACACTCTTTCTTGTTGAAGCATCTGAAATTTATATTACAATGTATAATAAGCAAGTGATTATCTATGTGATAAGTTAAAGTTTACTCATAGTTAACATGAGAATAATAGTTGCATAAAAGAAATCATTGATTGTTAAAAGAATGATACTTACTATCATATTTTGCCCTCTTGAGTGAAGGTTCACTATCCTCTATGGTGGACCCTAAAATATATAATGTACACATTTTATGTAACAATGGATTCTGATTCATGTACAGTCATTTATAGCAAACATACTGTCTGTTTCAAAGTTCATATTTTAATGAGAAGGTTTATTATGTAAAAAGTTTGGTGCCATTGATGAAATGTGACCCATGTAGTTATATATTGTAAATATGTTGCCACATGATCTAATGGCTTTGTGAAATGAAGATACATTTATAGACATTCAAGATGTAGTATGTAATGACTTTAGTCCAATGAGCTTAAAGGAGTTGATCATGACTGTAATATTAAATAAATTGAAACCCAACAGAGACTTTGTTTTTTTTCCATTTGCTACACATATCTATATCTTATGGGTGATCTGTGGTTCTACTCAGGTGCATGCTTTTCAAGGCCTCAGTTCGCAATCACTAGTATGTTGAATCTTGTAAGTTAATAAATGAATAATAATAGAATTGGAGTAATACTATAACATAATAATACTTACTGTCATATTTTGCCTTCTTTGGCACTGGCTCATTATCACCTACAATTTAATGTGCATGAGTATTATTGAATTATTTCCAGCTTTAAATAAGGAATAAAATGACAGTTGTTTATGTTAATGAAGGTATTTTTTCATAAATATATAAAGGATATTCAAGTTTTTTCTATAAATACATGATTTATTTTCATCGAGTGGTATGAAAATAAATATTTCATGAGTGGCGGTAGCCACGAGTGAAATATGGTAATTTTCATGCCACAAGATGAAAATAAATCATGTATCTATAGAAAAAACTTGAATTTTCTGTTTATTATATACATTTTTCTCTTTCTGGATATAAAAATTTGCAAGACTTTCCCTTAAATTTTGAGTACTGGCAGAATTTAAAAGAAAGTAGTCCGGCAACACCAGTGAAAATACGGAAAATATGTTTCACTGCAGTGAAAAATAAATTTTTACAGTGAAAATACGGAAAATGAAAATATGCATTTTATTTCATCAATATTTCTCAAAATTTCATTTAAAAGTATATAATAAATATGTATACAAGTTTCCAGAAAATTTAAGAAAGCTTTTCTTTTTGAGTTTTGGTTTATTTTGGCACACTTAACCTCAGTTAAATCAAATGCAACAATCCTATCATTTTTTATAAAAAGTGACATGGTGTGACTATAAATAATTTTAACAATACATGTCAACATATATTATTAATAAGACATTATATACTTTGTTAAATTGCTGAATAAACATTATGTAAATATTTGTGTGACTTTTCTAATTGTATATTTCTGCTCATGACTGTATACCTTACATGTATATAAATATGTATACATCTACCTAGATACCTATTATAGAAAATGACAGCTTAGTTTATGTAACATTATAATGTTAAATCATAGAAAGACAGATACACTTATCTACTATCACCCACAATAAATTCCAATATACATAATAGCATGACTGCAAACATTGACTGCCTGACCAATGAAAGAGAAAATATTAAACTCATTTTGAGTAATCGGCTTTTGTCAATTAAGGATATTTGGAAACTTGATAATTACTGTAACATTGAAAATAATGAAATTTCCAAACAAATCATAATAAATGTATTATCAACATTTTTACAACATTTACATTTATATACATGTACTTACAGTTTGTCTCACTTCCAACAGGAAGGTCTGGAATTGCAAGGCCAGGATCATTGTTTTCTGAAAATGGAATACATTATACAGTTATATCAGTAACAGAAATAAAGAATTCAATCTATGTTTATCATAATTAATTTTTTATCATAATTAATTTTATTTATCTATGTTTAACTTGGGAACAAATGTCTTAATTTTCTTAAAATAGTCTATTCATTTAATACTGTTAAGATGTTTGGATTAAGTAATTGTGCTTCACTTATAATTTATTTTAAGTAAATTTGTTCATTCATCATGAAATTCATTCACACAAATGACATGATCACAGTATCATTCTACATGTAGTTATAAGTGCAATACAAAACTTTACCAAGAAAGGTGTCTGCACCATTTTTTATCCCCTCTACACTGCAGGTGGGTATTGTCTGTAGAATCTGTGTAGAAATAGCCATGTATATAGAAAATTTGTGAAAAGTCAGGAGATTTGAAATGATAAACTGGTGTGTAACCCTTTACATATAATCTTAAAAAAGTAAGTTTATAGCTTCATTAATGTTTCAGAAACAAAAAAGATATGCAGGATACTTTTTAAGTGGACATTACATTTTTAAAAAAGCAATGATGATGATATTTGTTTGTATGTAACATTTATTAAAGAAAAAATATAGGGAAAGGACAGTACAGATCACATATAAATTATAGGGAAAAATATTTCCATACTAGCCATTCTACAACAATTTTCTATCATACATCTTCAACTTAGTCTATTAATAAACTTTACATATGAGATATTTGTATATAAGACAATGTTGATCTTAAGAAACTGTCAATGTCAATGTCAGAACAGTGTTGCAGAAAAACTGCAATTATAAGAAGGAAATTTGCAATGGGAAGTAATTTAAAAGCTGGAAAAACAGTTTATGTATCTTCAGACAATGTCTATTTTTTTCTATGATGGTTAGATAATACTAACTATTAAATCTACTGATACCTTGCTCTCCCATGCCTCCAGGTCTAATATGGGGGCTGGGCCACCACCTGTTTTCCGGGTTTCTGCAATGTACTGAATGGTTTTCTTCTTGGTTTGTGACTGAAAAGATAATCAATCATATGTATTACCCGTAAATAAAATTCCATTTGTGTCTGTAATGAATGCAGAAACTTAAAGTATCTAGAAACTGTCAACACCTTACCTCACCTTCTTGTACTTGTGTTAAATAAATTTAAAAGAAATTTTAGCATTAAAATACAAACCTTTAAGTCAATCCATTTCTTTTTTACTTGTTCAAGCGTCCTTGAACACCCACTTACACTGTTCACACTGAAATAAATCAAATTTAGAGATTTATAATATATGCTCAAATTTGACATTAGAAAATATTGATAACTGCTAAATATTATATATGTAAATATATAACAAACACATTCTGACTTCACACAAAGTAGATAACTTATATTTAAAATTCTACATGTCATATGTGGTCTCAATGTAAATATTAAGAACCATTTAAAAACTGGCAGTTTTTTTTTAAAAAGACCAACTTCACTTGTCCTGTTTAGGGGAACACTGTGAGCTTCCCATACATACTTTATTCATTATTTTATTAATTCAGTAAATATTTCATTGATTTCAATAATTTTCTGTGATTAAAATATTATACTAACTTAAGGATAAACATATAGTATATATTTAAGGATAAGGGAATCATGAAATTTTAGTAATAAGTGACAAGTGTACAATATTTATTTGCAAATACAAAAAAAGTTAAGAAAGATTAGAAAGAAGATTGATAACTTAAAGACACATTATGCATATTTGTTATTTCTTTAGAAACTTGTCAAACATGTGTTAAATAATGTTTGATAATGATTTAGGAACCTGTAAGATGATTAACAACTGAAGTAATTTAACAGCACTAAATGTGCAGTGATGTGTTGTTAAGGTAGCAAAATGTAAACAAAGTACACATGAAGTATTTTGACTTCCATAACAGGACCTGGAATTTATGTCAATAATTTTTTTTTTCTCAAGACATTAATGCTGTTATTGAATAACATAATTTCAATGTCATGTACCAGTGTTCGAAATTTAGCAGTAGTCCGAAAGCCCCTGACTACTAAATTTCTCCTCGGGCTACCAACTTTCCACAGTAACAAGCCCGACTAGGCTACTGTATTTTCAGAGGCAATATATAAACAACTGTTTTGAACAAATAAATCATGCTAGTGAAATGACTTTTGGGCTAGTGTATATTCCAATCTGGTAGTCTGACAAGCCTAGTTGATTCAAATATGAATTTCTTACACTGCTGTACAATTTACCAATTCACTATAATTATACCAATTACCATCATAGGTATTTGTTAAACTATGACAACCATTTCTGATGCTTAATTAGGCTTTAAGTAAGAAAAGTATATTGAACCCTTTTATTGATTATACTTAAACAATAAAAACAAACTTGTTTCCTCAAAACAGAAGTAGAGTTGACATGTACTGTAAATGTTCTAGTCCTATGAAAAATATACAGTTGCTGTGTAATATGCTGGGCTAGCAAATCATGCATGTGATTTAACAGATTCAAAATTGTATGATGCAGAAAACAGAGCCCCAGAAGTATTAAATATACAAATGTGACAATGAGTGGCATGATTTATTAACCTAACTAACAACTTCTGATTCACTACCCTAACTAACAAATTCACAGTGGCCTTTGTTAATTTTATACTATAATAATCTAAACCAGTCTATTTTATAGAATTGGTCAACTTATAGAAAGTGGCAATTGGTCGAATTTATTTTATGCCAAAAATTTGTAAAATTTGCTGAAAAATGAATGAAAGAAATAACATAAAATATGGGTCAAAATAGTTAAATAGAGGGATCGAAAATAAATGCCATGATGGTCACCAGATATAAACAATTTATTTTTTCAATTTTATATTTTAAATGGCACTTTATTATGCCCTTAATGAGATAGACTACCCAAATCAGTTGCTGATAAGTTCTTACTCTTTTTTTTTATTTTTAAAGTAACTTAACAATTACTGAAATACACTGAAAATCTAAGACACATAAAATTCTTAATATAAATGTTAAATATGAAGGAAAGCTTGGCCTTGTTTTAGTTTGCAAATATGATATAAAATAAACGCTTACATTGACATATTAAATTACCATTCACATCTGTATTTTTTTCAGTATTTCTATGTAGACCACTAAAGTTTAAAAACTGAACTTTATTTCCAGATCTTTTATAATTATGTTTTAAAGCAGTTTCTGGAAACCAAATTTGATGTTAACATAAAAATACTTATAATATACCAATTTAAAAAATAAACAGTGTCATCCTCCTACTATGCTGAACATACAGCCGCCTTTACCTTCCCCCTGCCCCCGACGGCACGAAACATCCAAATATACCCAAATGCACCCAAATATACCCAAATATATAGCAATATTTATTTTTGTTTGTATAAAATATAGATTATAATGAGAAATAAATTAATATTTATTAAATATAATATGACTTAGCCTGTTATAATTTTCATTCATTCCGTTGAAATGGACAATTACGATGTTGTAAGGAAATAAAGTTGTGACATTTGCTTATCTTAGTACTTACTATATAGGTTCTTTATGAATGTATTTGCAATTTTAACCCTTTCCCCCATGAGCATATTGTGAAAAATGGCCGTTTTCACTGAAAAGCCTCCTGTTACAAGTTCAAACTGCTATGAAACTATGGAAAATGCTTCAATACTAATCAAACTTTGCACAAATGTTGACTGGACCATTGCCTTTGTAACGACATGCTTAGTCTTAAATTTCCTGTTACCATGGCAACGAGGGGACATCTCAAAATTGCCGAAAATCACGATTTTGCCTCGATTTTTTCCATCAAAATTTATTTCAAAGTGCTGCAACTTCTCAAGGGATTGAGATAGAGTCAAAGGCTTTTAAGCGTTGGTTAAACGTTACATTATGGTCGACCTGGGGTCATTTTTAGCCTCTCACAAGTCCAAAATTTTCTTGGCGATGAGGGGGACTCCGCCCCCCTTCAAAACCCCCGAACAGAAAGGGGCACATCCCCCTTCTGGCAACCCCCGATGTATCTTTTGGATGGGGGGCGGCGCCGAAAAAGTGCTCAATTTTTTTAGCAACATTTCTCAAACGAAAACTTATGTTTAGGGCCCAAATAGGACATTTTTTCACTATTTGAGGCCCCAAAAAGGGGGGGGGTCGAAAGTGCGTTGTTTCGCGTATATATGTGGTAAAGGGTTAAATCACGATATGATATTTGTTGTCTATTGTACTACACTTACATTTTTAAGGTGTAATTTTGTTGAAATTTCCTATCATATACATGTGCCCATGTTATTTAAAAAAATAGTTTTAATGGTGTAAATATAGACTGTATTTTGGTTCAAAACACAATGATATGGAAATGTATATTTGGGTATGGTTGATTATATATATTAGTGAAAATGTATATTGTAGTCATGATAAAAACAGCACTTTTTTAGGATAAAACATATATTTTTAGTATAATTGGGAAATATTTGGTTATATTTGGGCAGTATTTGGGTATATTTGGGTATTTCGTGCTGCCCCCCTGCCCCCACCTAAAAAAAATACATCAAATTACATAATTTTTTTCTTTCACTTTTACAAACAATACTGTGCTGTTTTCCCAACCATTTGTGTATTTCATCTTTATTAATTGAATGTACAAAAGTCAATAATCTGATTTTCTCTTTTGCTTAATAATGTCTGTTTCCCCTGAGAAAGATCGAAAATATCAAAGTCGGAAAAATCATACCTTTCAGTCACATCGACCCAAAATCTGACCTTATCGGCGGCTGTGAGTGACGAGGAAAATTTTCCTGTCGCCACAGTAGCATCCTCACACTTGCTGATGAGCATATCTCGCTCATCAGCGGACCAGTTTACTTTTTTACCTTTCTCCATGTTTTCTGACATCTGAGAATTAAAGCAGACGTCGTCTTTCAAGTTTGACATTAAAATGCGCGTTACCTCCTTTTTTGAAGAGTACGTGTTAGTGCGCAGGCGTAAGAATCGTACGCTTATGAAAATTGTAAGATTTTAGGTTGAACGTACGACCGCGTTGATAAGACACTCTTACGATCGAGCGTACGACAATCGCAGATCAAAATCGTACGCTTAGATTTCCAAAATCGTACGATCGTTGATAAGACGGGCCCCAGATTCTTAGTGTTATGTTGTATTTTTTGTTTCAGTTAAGAAAAATGAAAAAGAAACAATAAACGGTAAAACTTAGTTTACTAGAACCTACATTTTGACTTTAATTGGCGATTCTTCTCAATAATTGACTTTTCGTTTTAAAATTCAATGTATTTTAAGTATATTTCTTACTTATATTATGCAAATGCAGAATTATAATTTCATCAGTCAAAGTGTTCCAGAGATCGATTGTAAACTTTTGCTCTTAATTTGACGATTTGGGAAGAAACTTTTTTTGATATAAATTCTTGTGATATCAGCGGAACATGGCACGAAGATAACAAGGGGTCAGCGTTTAGTTACGTAATGACGTAATGCAGTCTCCTTCTTCCAAAATACCAAGTTACACAGGATAAGCACCAAGCTGACACCAATGAGGAACTTTATTTATTTATTTGCTTGTTTGGGTTTAACGGCAACACTGACACATCACTGCATGGTCATACCGAGCCGAATAATTTTATAATTAAGCCTAAAATAGAGTGGTACAAGTCAATTTTTTAAATCTTTGGGTTTAACGGCAACACTGACACACCACTTGTCATACCGAGCCGAATACTTTTATAATTAAGCCTAAAATAGAGTGGTACAAGTGAATTTTTTAGATCTTTGGGTTTAACGGCAACACTGACACATCACTGGTCATACCGAGCCGAATACCTTTATATGTAAGCCTTAAAAGAGAGTGCTACAAGTGAATTTATTAAATCTTAGAATACAAAATAGAGAGGAATAAGAATCCCTAAAGAAAGCCCTTACACGGCACAATTGAAAATGTTGCAGGCTCGGTTTGATTGAGCCTGTTCATGGTTTACTTTCTCTAAGTTATGGAAGGAAATGTTTGACAGTAAAATATTATATTATAATTGTAATATTATATTACAAGCTATACACATTGAAGCATCGTCTCCTATTAAATGGTAACAACGTGTAACACTAGTATGTCCAATTCTACATCTAAGAAGAACAACTTGATCATGATGGTTAGGGAGAAAAAGATGATGATATATCAAGACCAGGGTGGATGTCATGAAGTCTGTAAAATAAAGATTTGTCCCCATTTAATTTCCATTCAGATGAAATAAGTTTATTTATTGGGGGTTTAGAAATCTAACTGGTAATCTATCGAATCTACTGAATGAGAACTTAAGGATTCTTAAGCCAAAGCATCTACCTTTTCATTCCCTTGTATGTATACGTGGCTGGGGATCCAACATAGTTAGACTGACTTAGTTTTCAAAATATCATGAAATCCCAAAAGGAGTTTCTTAACCGATAAGGAACAGGACAGATATACAAAATAGGTAAAAAATACTTAAAAAACGCTAAATCAACTAAACTGAAAATGATTTAGGCTTTGGTGATTGTTTATTTTTTGTATTGGTAATTGCAAGCTATCGTTCAATTCCCTTATATCCCAACTTACTTTCACGTGATGAATTATATAGATCGAAATATGAACCATATTAAAATCAATATTCTGGAACTGTTTAAAAATAAAAAATAATCACCATTTGCTTAATTTTGCGTTTTTTGTGTTTGTCTGTTTGTTTGTTTGTATTTTTGTTGTTTTCTTCTTTTTTTTCAAACAATCAATAGGCAATTTCTTCAACACTGTATTGAAGAAAGTGAACCAGTTTTACAATTAGCTAGATGGTCGGAATTCCGTCAATAACACGCCGATATGTCCACTTTCTAGTGTAACGTTATTAAGTTTGCTCTTACTTTTAAAAAGGTAATAGTTGTAACCGACTGCTTTATTCCTCTGACCTGAGTCACAGTGACCTCTAATTGTTTAATTTCTAAGGCCGACGCATTAATCACTCGGCCATGTCGCCACAAAATTAGGCAAATTGACGGAGGAATAATAATTTAACAGTCAGAACTATAAAATTTACAAAAATGTTACAAAATGTTTGGTATATCACCGTTCAACCCGTGTGGAACAAGAGTTATAAGTCATGATCATAAAATACATACATGATGATAATGGAAATAATTTATAAAGAGTATAAAACCATATTTCTTTTGTCTGTAGTTTACAAAATTACTGTTGAAATCTTGATGAAAAAAAATAATATGAAAGAACTATACTTGTATATTCATTAACAGCAAATTGCACGAACTCATTGCTTAACAGTTAAAGTCCTACAAAAAATAATAGAATAATATCTTATTTCTGTTTACATGCACGATTCATGTATATTAAATAACAGAGACATTCTATATTTCCCTTCTTTTAACAATCAATCGTGAGATAACGAAAATGACATTATTTGCATTTCATAAATCTTATGAAAATATTTTGTAACACATAAATTTATGCCTTTTAAGTTTGGGTTCATTGTTTAATTTGATTTGTTTTACTTTTTTCTGATATTTCAATGGCAGATGACTTACACATAAGTTTGACAAATCTTATTTTTACAATCAGTTCATATTTTACATTATATAACGTATTACTGTGAATATATAAATAGCATATCAATGACTATATTATATTTGTTATGAAATACATGTAATCTTATACCTCCATGTCTTTTATCAGTGTATTTATCGATTTATAATAACGATCCTAATAAAGGTGTCCGAATGAATCCGTGTGACGTAAAATTATGGGGAAGGAAGTAAATAAACATTGAAAAGGTTGTCTTCTTTTTTTTTAATAAAACATGTTATTCATTTTTTAAAATCTTTTAATCATCTTTCAAAGTGTTTGATGTTTCGTTTCTGATCAATTTGATTACATTTTTGAGGATTTGCAGTTTAACGTATGTTTTGATTTTTTGTGTTTTAATTACGCTTTACATTTTCAGAAAATACAAAAAAGAAAGTAGATTCGCTAGCAATACAATAAGCACTGGAAAGAAATTGTACATCAATTTTTTTTTATAAAATACGGAGAAGGCTTTCACCGAAGAATTGTTTCATTCGGTTTTCTTTTTTTTTAAATCAGTCTACTTTCGATTTTGCCCAGTTTGTCAGATACATGTATGATTGTTGATTAAACAGAAGTTGCAGAATAGCAACTCAGACATTTTTTTTGCTGGCTGACATGTTTTGACATTTAAGCAAACTATCTAAATAATCCTGGTTAGAATTACTTTCATTACAATGAAAAAATATTATATTTTATATACATGTTTATGTAGCAGTGTTACAACTCACACATGATGTACCTCAAGAACATTTCTATTTTCATATATAACATTGCCTTCCAGCATTTAGATCAACTAAACGTCGAATATTACAAAATGCGATATTTAATGGTCTAAACTTACTTAATGAAATACGTCCAGAATCCATATGGCTACCTGGTGGGAACAGACAAACTACACGGGAACGAGGTTTGTGACACCTGATTCTTTCGTTTTGAATGCTTCATTTATCATATTTTTAGTTAATGCAAAGTAACAATAAATTCCATTATGTTGTTCACAATCGGCATTCAAACTCCTCGAAGCGGTTACTTCCCTTTATAAGTACACTAATCACTGCCACCAAGCGTGTCACGTGACAGTTTAGGACATTGATGGAAGACAATTCGATTTCCTTTTACTTGTACATCATTTAATATCTACCGGTATAAACAGAAAGACCTACATAAAGTGAATGTAATTTTGAACACTTCATATGGTGTTCATAATGCAGTTGAACATGCAGTTGTTTTAGGCAAATTAGTGAAACATTTGGACCATTAGCCAATTTAAATATAATATTGAATCACAGTTTTAGTGTGAACTCAATTTACAATAATATTGTCATTCAACAGGCCAGTCATTTTTTTTTACAAGTGGTGGGCTGTTCAGGTACAAAATCAAAGCGTTTTTGATATTCCGCGGAATATTGTAATAGTACCTAATGTGGTATAATGTATCACTATATTGAAGATATAAATGACTTATATGTTATGTGTATGTTTGAAGCATACTTTAATGTAATTGGGGCTAAAAACAGCTTTATGTAATTACACAAAATGTCCTGTCTTTGCTAAAATGATCTTGTCAAAATATTTTGTGATATAGTAGTAGTAATCATTAAAATTTCTAGTTCTAAATTTTGAGTGTGCAGTTATTGCAATAAAATACTACTTTTTTTGTTTTAACATCAATAATATACATGAATGAAGCTCTTTTGACATTTTAATTCTTTAATTATTATGTTGTGACCTTATTTTTAAACTTGCTTTTATATTCTGTGCTAAAAAGAGCAGTCTAAAATCGAGGGAAGTGAAATAAAAAAGTAGGTTTTCATAAATTCCACAGTAAAACTTTTTGAAACTTAAGTATTTGTTTCCATAGGTATGTTACATAATTTTGGTGTAGTGCTTATGTTTTGCCCAAGCTGTTTTTCAAGTGGTCGAACATGTCAACAAATTTTGTTCAAACTATGTTATTCATTTGGTAAATGTTATTATTTTGATATTTTTGTACACCACAATAAACAAGCAATTATCATAGTATTGCAAGCAATCCATAAGTCCCCTACTGGTAAGAACCCCAGCAACATTCTGATGGGCCATTGGCCATTCAATTTTACCAGTGAATGAATGGCATGAATGAACTTAAATCTTTTGAGTTCTAAGTTTGTCTATATCACAGTAATGTGCTATGTTTCTGTGCCTAGTAAGGAAATTATGTTTATACAACCTTGTCATATTATCACGATGTGGGATTTTAAAGTAAATCCTATAAGGAATGAAGAAGTTGGAGTAAAAAATACCAATTTCTCGAAAAAAATCTAAGTTCAAGGGGGACATAATTCTGGAAATAGTCTTGCTAGAGTATTTAACCTTCTCAAAAATGTTGAGTGATAATAAAAAACATATATATGAAGTTTGAAGTAGATACATTAGGAAATAAAAAAGTTATTTAAAATAATAAAGAAGTTATTTAAAAAAGACAACATTTTTTTTTCATAAAAATTCTAAGTTCAAGGGAGGTAATACTGATAATTTTTGTGCTAGAGTTGTAAACCTTGTCACATATGATGTGGTTGATGACCAGAAACTTATATTTAAAGTTTGAAGTAAACACCTTAAGAGATAAAGAACTTGTGGTGAAAAAGCTGAAAAAATTTATATCAGAAATCTTGAAATTCAGGCTATTTGTTGCCATAGCAACCAGAATTGTCAACATAGGAAGAAAAGAAAAAGATGTGCATAATCTCCAGACTGCCATCTACATATATTTCAAGTTTCATAAAAATATTTTCAGTACTTTTTGAGTTATCACTGGATCCAGTTTATGTGTTAAATTTGCCATATTTTCAGACTATTTGTTGCCATAGCAACCAGAATTGTCAACATAGGAAGAAAAAAAAGATGTGCATAATTTCCAGACTGCCATCTACCCATATTTCAAGTTTCATAAAAATATTTTTAGTACTTTTTGAGTTATTACTGGATCCAGTTTATGTGTTAAATTTGCCATATTTTCAGACTATTTGTTGCCATAGCAACCAGAATTTTCTACATAGGAACAAAAGAAAAAGACGTGCATTATCTCCATACTGCCATCTATCCATATATCAAGTTTCATAAAAATATTTTCAGTACTTTTTGCGTTATCGCGGGATCCAGTTTTGTGGACGGACTGACAGACGGACGGACAGACGGACGGACAGACGGACGGACGGACAGACGGACGGAGGGTAAACCTAAAGTCCCCTCCGGTTAAACCGGTAGGGGACTAAAAACAAACACACTGATATCAAAGAAGTTTTCTTTTATTGATTTTTTAAAACAAAGACTGGTTTTACTTTAACATGGTGCTCGGACATTCTTAACCAATTTGCTGATGGGGGAGGGGTATAAACTGAAAATGTTTGTAAAATTCTTAAATGACGATAAACTTTAGTGAAACTTCACAAACAAGTGTGTTTATGGATATAGATGATATAAATATCCACCATTAATCTATTCTAAAACATGCTCATTAGAGTCTGGAGGTGAGGTGAGATTTTCTTGTAGATTGTTTTTTTTTCCCTTGGCAACAGTAGGTTTTGGGCTTAAAACGGAATTAATTGCAACTGTTTTGACTGACTATTGCGGAAGAGATAGTTTCATTCTAGATTTGCAATCCAATCTCATAAAAATCAGCCCTAAATAACGCTCCGCTTTTAGATCTGACCATGCCCCAATACAAAATCATTTCTGGTGACATTTCACACAGCAAATCATCGGCGAGCTTTCATAATTTTGAAAGCGATCTAGTTTCTAATTTTAACCCTGGGAAAACCAATACTGTGTATGTATTTTCCACAATTTTGAGAACAAACATGACGTTGTCCATATAGCCGACTGGTAAACTGGCATAACAATCTTGCCCATTTATAATTGACTCAATTACCTCAAGCAAATTTGTTAAAAATTACTTCAAACATTTTTTTTTAATTACTACAAACATTTTTGTAACAAAGATTAAAAAGTTAAACCACGGATAGCGGTATTTTGTTACCTTTATTATTGTAAATGTAAAAACCAATCTAAGCCAAATAATAAGCAGAGATCACTGTGTGGAGATTATTTCCTAGCATACGCCTTTAAGCGATTTCTCGTTCTTTTTATCATTTTCACATATTAATATTTCTGTAATCAGATTGATAAATAGCTTGCTTATCTGACTATTTTTACACGTCAAATATATATAAATTTTGTGACATCTTCATTCTATTTTAGTCCGGTAATAATATGTAATAGAAAGAAACTATCTGATTTGTTCGAGGGGGCGTAGCCTACAGATTATAAATTAGATCTGTATACCCAGTTTTTAGCAGTTCTTTCTGTTTTGTATCATAGGTTAAAATTCACTTTCCCTGTCGTCAATATAGGTAAACCCAAGAAAATAACCAATGAACTATCATATTGATAATATATTTTCATCATTCTCTTACCCTAATGAAGCTAATCAACGATCATGCTCTATTGATATCCATGACAAACAATGAGGTAACTGGAGTGCGCGTAACTAATACCTGTACTCTAGTTATCGCACTGTGCATATTTATTGATATGCGATTTAACACGAACACTTTTCAATGAAAAGGTATCCAAATTGTGATACTATAAACGAAAAAGGACTCATAACAAGTACAAATATTATTCAATAGTAGTTGTACATCATTTTTTTTAACATTTCTAAAATGATTAAAATAGACAGAGTAAGCGTTCGTTAAAGAAATGTTATATTCGATTTAATTTAAAAAGCTTACCGCCAGTTTCGCTTTATTCGTCAGGTATACGTGAATTTAAGAACACAAATCCTGAATTTATGAAAGTAAAAAGGCGACCCTTTCCTTTAGTATGTTTAGTTGGCTCCTTTGAGTTAATTTTAAATTCAACGTCGCATAAACTGAACAATACTGATTAAACTTTTTGTAAAGTTTTAAAAGATATGTTATTTTGTTGTAAGAATGAATTATGATTGGATAGTTGCATCAACGCATGAGATTAATTTTATTACTTGAAATTGTAGCAATTCACAACGATATAGTGAAGAACAATTCTTTTCATGTTTTAAACGCTTACTGCATTTCAAGCATATCATAGCATGAAAATATATCAGAGTGGTAAAATTTCCCATTAGTTTTCATTTTTCTTTTTCAGTTCTATTAACAAGGATGCTCCGAGATTGCTTGTTGTTGCATTTGACTTCGGAACAACATACAGTGGATATGCTTTTTCATTCCGGGATGACCCGTTGAGAATCCAAAGCAATCAAGGATGGATTGCTGGCAGTGATCAACTCATCTCATTGAAAACACCAACATGCGTTCTTCTCAATCAAAGACAAGAGTTTGACTCATTTGGATTTGAAGCTGAAAATAAATTTGCAGACCTTGCCGAAGACAATAAGCACCATGGTTGGCTTTTATTTCGTAGGTTCAAAATGATCCTACACAATAACGAGGTATATTTGATCTCATCACAATCACTTCATTTGATAATTTAATTGTATTTGACTATTTGTTTTTCCTGCACCGAAGCACAACCTGACATGAATATAAACTCTGCTGCTTGAAACTGAAAATATGCGTGTGTATTGCGTAGCTTAATTAATGATAACAAAGACTTTAAGCGTATGTTTGATATATACTGTTTACACATTTATCTAAATATATTTGTATGTATGCAGAACTTATCAAGGTCAACTACCGTTGAAGATATTAATGGAAAATCAATGCCTGCATTGACTGTCTTTACAATGGCAATCAGATATCTAAAAGACCATTTTCTCGAGGCTCTCAACAAACAGAAGACAGGAATTGAAGACAAAGACATACAATATGTTATTACAGTGCCTGCATTATGGAATGATAAAGCCAAACAGTTTATGCGGGAAGCAGCAGAAAAGGTTTACACATTTTGCAAACAAATATATTATATCAATATTTAATCAATTATCTTTTTGAATTTATTTATACTATTAAGTAAAAATTTAAAGTTTATTCAGAAACCTTCACAGGAAAGCAAGTAGAAAACCCTTTATGAATAGTTTTCTTCAAAAGGATAACTTTGTTTATTGTTTATTTAATGTTTTTGATATTAATCAAAAGGCTGGAATAGCAAAGACACAACTAAAGTTGTCTTTCGAACCTGAAGCAGCCTCTATATGGTGCCAAACAATCTCGACAGACATAAAGGAAAGTCTCACTAGATCAGGAAAACAGTACATGGTCATTGACCTTGGAGGTAAGGAAATAAATGTCAATAAAACAACTTTTTTCAGACAAAAGGCATAACGTACACCAGGTGTACAGACAGAGTTGAGTTTGTTTTGCTTGCGATGTGATTCCTTGACTTTTGTTGTTAACTCAGGATATATAATCACGTGGTTACAGTTGTCTATTGGTAAGCTAATAGTTAGTCACAATTAGTAGCGGCGCCCGTAATTTTCACCTGTAAAACTTTTTTTTTCGACATAATTTTTTCCTTCTTTTTTGTCTATTTCCAGTTTAACTGGTGGCGGAAGAACTCAGTTGCCCCTTCGTGCATCATTTCATGCACGAAGGACCACCTGAGTAGAGCCAACGGCGTTCCGTAAGCCAGGGAGATAGCTTTCTTCAGACTATCTGGACCATGTTCCAGTTAACATAACTGCCCATCGATTGTATTTATTTAAGCCATGCTTTGTTCACGGAGATATTCGAAGCTTTTAAACCCGGTGCAACAGCGAAATAAATGAATGAATGACCAGATACTGCCAAACTAGGTTTAGAAATTACCAAATTTATCTTTAAATTATTTTCATATTTGTAATATATAACATTAACTTAATTATTTATAGTTATACAATAGAATAATATGCAAAATAACAAAATGGTAATTAAGACTAAGAACTAAATTCAAATAGAAATAATGAGGATCCTTTGTAGAAAATGGCAACAGAAGGCACCGCTTAACGGGTCATAATTACGTACAACTTTTCAAATATTTGTAGAATAGTGAACACAACACAATATCATATGCGAACTAGAATATAGGTGGATCAGCAATACTAGTCAAGCCGACAAATATATCTTATTTTGTACAGAACAATATAATATCCCTATCCCACGTATGATTCTGATAGAAACGTCTGCCACTAATAATTTGGAAACTACATTGTCCTATGTTGGACATTTTTGACTATCAAAAGACACGTTTCATAGCTCAAAAGAATCAATTAGATGTTTATATTAGAATGGAATTAAACAAAACTCATTACACGTAATATGTTCTTCACTGTTACTTTTTAATTTTTTATGTTCTCCACTATAACCATTTTGGTGTTTGGTATAGTATTTGGTTCCTGAAGCCAGTGCGTTTGGCAATAGCTGGTCGTTTACTTATTTGTTCCTCACTTTAACAGTGTTAACATGGCTCCAAAAGAAAAAATAACATTCTCCGCTAGAAATTTCTCTTCACGACCTTTTAACATTCCACTGATTTTATGTGTACAATTTTGGTATTTCTGGACATGCATTTAGCTGGAACATGGGCTACATTTAATTAAAGAAAGGGAAGAAATATCGACAAAAGAATATTACATCCAATTTCAGATGCCGCCATTAACATTTACTAACTTTTACTATAACTATACATCACGTGATAATAAACCCTTTGTTAACAACATCTTTAAACTTGTATGGGATGTGCCATTTATAAGGCTCTACCTTAAATGGTTTCAGTTCATTGCATATCTTAAATTTGACGCTGAATAAAGATTTTAGAAGAATAATTTTAACAATCTCTTCCTACAACCCTACAAGACCTAGAGCTTTGATATATTATGTTAAGCTATATCTGTTGAGCATTTACTAAATTTATCTATCACTCTGGTGTCACAATTGGCACCGACTCGGAAGTGTCTTTGATTTAACATTTTAGTTCTAAAAACTCAATGTATACCTCTACAATAGCAGTTAAAATCCTAACCCTTGTCCCATCCTGCCTGTCTTTTTATTTAACATAGACTTGTTAAAAAATCTTCTTTTTATGTGCACTGTTCATCCTTAAATATTTGTATGCTTTTAGAAAGAAGCCCACAAATCAGAATGTACAAAACACGACACTAGGGTGAATATTGGCTCAGAAATCAATCTGACGAATATCATTCTGTAGAAACTAAGAAGAACTCATGTTCTTATAGTAAAAAAGGCTCTTGATTTTAAACAGTCTTATTTATGTCTTATAAATTTCATGTTATATTATTTTTTGACTGCTTCCGAAAGATCCAGATTTTTAAATAGAAAAAAAAAACAAAAATCTTCTTCAGCTTAACTATTTAGTGTGTATTTGTCAATAAAATCTCCTCCGCGTCCTTCAAATCATGACTATGGGATAAAAATTCGCCATGTCACGGATGTCACTTGATTTTACTTTGAGGAAAAAACGTTTTCTCCGTAAATTAAGTACATTTTCTGTGTGTGCAGCATTGTAGAATCTTGTTCAAATGTTGTATACTGGTGCCTCATATTTCCGTGTTACCCATAATTCCAAAGTATTAGGCATAAACAGTCTCAAGTGCCTTCTAGACTTCATGCACCTGCCAATAGTTTTACTTTTACTTATTTATTTTACTTTTATCAAAATGCTACATATACGGCTAAGAAAACTTATTATCTTTTTCAGATTAAGATCAAAGTAAATTATTTCACAATTTTACTTTTAGTTTTCATACTTTTTTAAGACAATTCTCTTTGTTAAACAACCATTGTGTTATTTGATAAATGCCATAGAGAAAATACCCACTTTCAGACGGGGCAAGGAATAGATGAACTAAAAAATAAAGATTACTATTGGTTTTGCTTTTGAAACTGTTAAAATGGAATTGCCTTGGAAATATGAGAACACATCTTAACTCACTTGGCTGGTACATAATTGCTTACATGCAAACATTACATGGAATAAACTATGGTGTAATTGACATGTCTATGCTACAATATTCAACGTTTTTTCTCGAATTTTATTCGTCTAACTTTTGTTCATTCACTGTGTTAAAACAGTTAAGTACCACAGAAATATGAGGCACCGGTATAGTATGAAAAGTAACTTTAATAAATAGTCCGGCCAAAATTAACTTTATAATCATTAAAATGAACTAATTATGTATTATTTATAATATGAAGATTCTTGGTTTAAAAAAGATATTTGACAATTTATTCTTGCAAAGTTCCCTATTTAGATAAGATAATCATTAATTGAAAAGCTTAATTCATTGTATTTCTTCACATTTACTTTTCTGGACAATGTATCGACGCGTAATATATGGAAGAGTATACATTCTTTAAAAGATGAATATAAATATGTTTGCAATTGGTTTCCAGGTGGAACCGCAGATATATCTGTCCATGAAAAGCAAATTGATGACACTTTAAAAGAACTACATAAAGCAAGCGGGGGACCCTGGGGTGGCACAATTGTTGACGACAATTTTATAGAATGGGTCACAAAAATTATCGGGAAATCTACAATGCAGAGATTTAAAGATGAGCAAATGGAAGACTACTTCCAATTGTTAAGAGAGTTTGAAATAAAAAAGAGAAATATTAAAACCGATTCAACGGGAAACATAACATTCAGACTGCCTGCATCACTGAAATACCTGTACCGAAAAGATAATAGGGATACATTGAAGGATAGAATTGTCGCAATGGGATTATCTGACGTTGTAAAATATAACGGGGACAAACTGAGAGTGGACGCTTCGGTCATTAAGCAGTGGTTTGAGCCTCCTATTTACAACGTGATTCAGCATGTACAACAGATTCTTTCAAAACCAAATATGCAAAAAGTCGAGACGATTATTTTGGTTGGCGGATTTGGGGAGTGCAAATATGCCCAAGACATTTTAAAGAAGGCAATGCATGACAGGAAAATCTTTATCCCAGAAGAGCCAGGTCTTGTTGTTCTCAAAGGTGCAGTACGTTTTGGACATTTCCAAGAAATTGTTCGCTCGAGAATAATGACCCACACGTACGGAATTGGTGTCGTTGGCGAATATGATGAGCAAGAATATCAAAATGCAGGTGAAGTATCTTTTCATCGGGATCGCAATTTTGTTGATATTGTTGTATTTGACATAATAATAAGAGCTGGAGATGAAACAAGTATAGGGAAAGTCATTACTAAAGGCCCATACGTACCATCCGCACTACATACAACACATTTTGTAATCTACACCACAGAAACCTTTGATCCAAAATTTGTGACAGATCAAGGCTGCAAACAAATTGGAATGCTTACTGTATCACATGCCAATGGACGGTGCCAAGATGACAACCCACTTATGGCTTCGTTTATATTCGGAGATACGGAACTGTATGTGAAGGCTGTGAATATAAGAACGAAAGAAGAATTTTCTACTTATATAGACTGTTTATAAAAAGTGCTTGCATGTATCAAATTATCCTGTAAGACTAGGTTCCTTATATTGGTTGCAATTAGCGATTATGGTCTGTATTTAAATAACATTTTAATTAACATTGAAAATGTAATACCATTTATATTAAAGGTATACTATGCTCATCCTTGAGTAAAATATTCTAATCAAAGAAATTTATTGAAATATATGAAATTCTTACTAGGTATGTCTTATTTGAATTAAAGAATAAATAAACTATGTATGGTAAGCCTTTAACTGGTCTTTTCTTAAAAATACTGCCACTTTTTTAATGGCGGTATATATTAATATTGTGACCACTTATCGTGTGAAGGAGTTTAAACATAATATATCTACATGTATTTACAAGAGACTGTGTAGCAATTATCAAAATTTTCTAATATCAAATTTGAGCATAATATAACTTTAATTTTGTTTTAATTTTTATTTGCGTGATTGGTTGTTGTTTTCATTATATATTGATTACCACTTATTGTTTGTACCAAACTCGTTCGAAATGCAACCGTAGAAAATGGTACTTTATATGATGTTTCATCAATTTCTTACAAAATGCAATTTTTTGTGACTAGTACTCGCAAAATAATTGTCCAAACTGAAAATGCTGGTTGATTTTTGAGTTCTTGTGACAACTATAAGCACATGAATGGAAATATGGTATAAGCGACATCAATTCTCTATTCCGCGTGGGCTGCAACAGGTCTTGTATGACAGACATAATATAGAAATACCTGAAAGAAAACACATGTGAACCGATGAGTTTAGGCCGCCATAGGGTAACCATACAAATCACCTGATTCCCTAACCTAATATTCCCAAATACTTTCTAAGTATGTAGCATATTATAACAATAAATGTGAATGCAGACTGTTCGGTTTGTATTGGATCGTCGTTTTAGCCTATCAGCCAGAAATGTTTTCTTTCTGGCTGTCTAACTTAAAATGATTTTTTGGATAAAAGTGGAAATGTTTAACTAAAAAGCTATTTTCTGAAGTTCTGTTGCCATTGCTAAAATATAAATCAACTATCTTTCGTTTCAAAAATTAAGAAAGCAAATTGACGACCTTTAAGAACGCCAAAACACGGCAAAATATTGAAAGCTCAGATTAATTAAAACGCAGTTGCAAATGGAAAGTAAGGAGAATGAGAATACCATTTGTCAAGAATTTGCAAAATCTAATATAATTTCGGACAAGGCAAATCGCATTAACAAGCGCCAGAATAGGTGATTAACTTTACTTATGATATTTATATACATAAACTCCATAGCTGAACGGTTACTAAATATACAAAATGTATTGTATAAACCTGAAATTTCTTGTGGATCTACTTATATGAACATTTTTGCACGTATTGTTTCCTTTTAGAGAGACAGTCCTGTGTCCTAAATAAAGCCATGAGTTTACATTTAATGGATAGTGTAACAAGATACATATTACTGCATTTCGAAGAAAAAACGATCTACTTTCGTAACGTTTTGATACTTGTTTTCGTACCCTTACATTTTAATTTTAGCAAAATCATTTTTAAAACAATTCGAGCTCTTACTTGTCTAATTGTAAGGGATAAGATTGTGAAAATATTTACAAAAAGGGCATTAAATGACAAAATAATTACATAAAAGCATATTTCTTCATTACTTTTTGAATTGAAATATTAGAAACGATTTCTGTTAGAGCAATCTACATTTACTTTTTATGTTGTACTTAGTACATGATATACAACAAAACTTTTTTATTCTCTTTATTTTCAACAAGTAGTTTAACAACATAGAATATCATTAATTTCAGGCATCGACTTTTCCCCAATATTCCATTGCCATGTTTTTTGGCAGTATCGGGCATATTCATCATTGAGTAGGGTACAGCTGTCTTGTAAGAGATGTCATGTCCGTTCAAGTGCACGGTGATGTGTACATTGCTTAATTGCATCTTGCTATTCATTGAAGTAGGGTCGTATTGAAGCTAAAATTACAATTACATATAAGTAAATAACCCTTAACATTTTAGATCTATAAACCCTGCAAGGTATGTTTCTAAATAAAAAAGTTGCATACAATAAGTCCAGTCCAATGTATAGAAATGGCTCTTGAATTGTGAAGATATTGTTAAGCAGCTATTTAATTCATCATTCCATCATCATTTGCTCGAAGCAAGCAAATTGTCACTTTGATTGTGAACATTTCAAGCATTTCTTCAACATTTGATGTATCTTCAGCTCTATTTTTGTTTGAAAAGTTGGTTATACATCAACATGTGAACACCGTTAAAGAATTTAATACTTTTAACTTTATTATAAAATAAGTTATACATTCTAAAAAAAACAGAACAAAGGTCAACAAGACAGAGGCATGTTCACAGAACGCTGCCACAACACACTCCAGTCATAACAGCAGGGCACCAAGAAGACACCGAACCATTAAACCATAAAGGCATTAAATCAACAAAAAGAGGTCATGTGATGTTAAGATATTATATGATTTGTGTCCAAAACAAGGGAAACAGACAGCATTGCCAAAATGAAATTACGATATACAATTAAAGGATCGCAGGATACGTGCCGTGGCAGAACACATTCAGGTAGCCATCTGACGTATAAAACATAAAGAAGAATATTTGACTGATGTTTAAGATTTGAAAGAGTATATTGCGTATACATGTATATCCTTTTGTTTAAGGCTTATTGACATTTCACTAGAGTTTTGCATTTTTCTTTAATATCTCAAAAATGTCTTGTTATTGATGGAAGTTTATCAGGGCTGCTAAAGTGAAATGGAGCACTGAGTCTAACTCATAATCCATATTAAATAAATACGAGTATATAATACTTAAATTGTAGTAAATAATGCCGTAAAATTCATTATGATTCAACTCCGAGTAAAAGTAAATAAATAGTTCATTCTAATACTGTCAAAGAGAAGTTATGCAAGCAAATACTTTGACTTTATGAAGAAAAGTACAGATTTTATTAAAAATGAATGATACCAAATTGTGCCTTTTTAATTCAACATTTTCTTTATCTGTTGGTGAACAGACACAATTTTCGCATATTTGAAGTTCACCGAAATTATTATGTAAACCTATATAATAACATTTTGGAATGATGATAAAATCATGTTATATTAAGTCATGTTACTGACCTTTGTAATGATAGGATGTGTCTTATCTAGAGCGGCGTCATACACTTTCTGAAGCTTGCTGACCTTGCTAGTCATGGTGGTATTCATTTTGACAATGTCGGCTCCGCATACTACAGTTACAATCATAAATTCAAAATCATTCAAAACGAAAAAGAAAAATATAATAAAAATATGTATTCACCAGGCATTATCATTGTTTCGTATTATACACGGATTTCATATCATCTGCCACCTATAATTATTATAGCTCTTTGTTTTAACATGTGTACAGAATTTTGTTATTTACTGGCTGTACTCTTCTCTGACCATTGATTACAGGCGATTCTTTTTGCAACATGCAAATTATGGGGATTTAGTTTTTTGCATAAAAGTCAAAATACAATTTTGTTTAAAGTATCCTACTTTTAAGAGTATAAACAATACTTTCACATTTAGCTTTACTTTCTATAGGTTATATGCATCTTTCGTGCTTCACAATACTCATGTTTGCCTCTAACGTTTCTGAGGCGTCACGTGCATTTTAAGTATATAATACAATACAAAATGCCTTTGTTGTTTTATACAATTATATACTTTGAACTACTACTTTGATCACTTTTGAAAGGTATCAACCGCGATCGTATTAAACGAGTTATCCGTATCATACAGTATCAATAGGTTTTGAGTTTACTTGAGTTTTTGTTGAATTCAAAAACATGATCAAGACCTACTGACTGTCAAAGTGAAAGCTTTGTAGATAAACATCAACTGAACTGAAGGAATCACGCATCTTTCTAGACAATTAGTATGCATCTTTACAGTGATCATGTCAGTTTGAATAGATTGCAGAAATGTTCAATCATTTAATAAGAATGCATACCAGCAGTGATCACTTCAGCTTGGGTAGGTAAGAGCAATGGTCTGCAAGAAGCGCATTTTTCCATACAATGTCTTGTCTTGGCATCGATTTCTCTTTTCTTCCCGAAGATACCTGTAATTTGGAAAAGAAACTATTTAAGAACATATATGATAAAATAAAAAAACAGTAAAAGTAAACGGTATACATGTACATGTATTGCTTTTTCAAAATTAAACGAATGAATGTAATGAAAACAAGTTTCATGATTTTAAGATTAACAGTTATGACCGGTTTGTATTCTTACATATCAAACTGATTTTTTCCGTTAGTTTACCCATGACGAAACTTTAATCTGGCATTTTATAAATGAATTGCGTTAAACTGACCTCATTTCGGTGCGTTTCAGAATAAAACTAGGGTGACAACGATTCGCCATTATAAATGAATTTGTATATTCATTAGCTTTTGTACGAACATAGTTACGGATGAATTGACATTATTTTTCATGAAAAATTATTTTATTGAGATACTTTATTTATACTTGATGGTAAAAGTTTTTGTTTATTTTTAATATTGTTTGAAAACCAGTTTTATCTATGTAACAGATGTCCAAGTCGTGTTTTATGTTAAAAGATTTTTGATAGAGTGTAGCGTTTGTGTTTGTGACCAAAAGCCAAAGAAATTAAGGAATGATTTTATATAATACCTTTATTTAACTATGACAATATATGACATGATGTTTTTAGACCCGTGTGTGTGTGTGTGTGTGTGCGTGCGTGTGTGTGCGTGTGTGTGTGTGTGTGTGTGCGTGTGCGTGTGCGTGTGTGTGCGTGTGCGTGCGTACGTGTGCGTATGCGTGTGTGTGTTGTTTTTGTGTGTGTGTGTGTGTTTGTATTTTTTTTTGTAACGCACTCAATTGTCTGCTAGCTTACTATGTACGGAACGGCCTCAGTGGGAAATCAACTCTCTAATTAGATATATATTGTTATCGTGTTGAAGATATCTTTTGTAATATTGTTTAGTATAACAAAATATGAACTAAATATCATATCTTGTCATAAAGAAACAAAGTTAATTTGCTAAATCTATTTTATGTACGACCGGTTAAACGTTTAAACGGTTAGTGCTTTGCTAACCTTGACATCCTATATAGTCAGATTCTTTTTTTTTACTTGTTGAATTTAATTAATCATTTTGTTTCTTGTACCTTCAATGGCATGACCGATGCTGCTTCCAATATGTTCGATTTCATGACCAGCATTGTTGAGACCATCAGTCAAACTATGTCCTAAATCTGTAAGTCCGTCCCCAAGTAGTCCAGCTGTATCAATTACTGCATTACCAGCATCAGTTAAACTACCACTCACTTTATCAAGCCCGTCTTTCATTGTATTAAAGGCCCTATACATTAATGGTATTATTAGGGTAATGAAATAATATAATTCATATTCGAATCATTGGCTCTTTAAGTTATAATTATTTACTCAACGTTTCGTTCGCAATTCTTATAAGTTCTGAAAAGAAGATATTCGTCCAAAGCGATAAAGAAAAAAAACTTGGCGCGGGTATTTTTTAAAGAGACAATGAAACAGTTCATATCCCTAATGCCCCTTAGCGCCAACGCAAGCAGTATGTGATTCTTAAACACAGAAACGCGTTCAAACAATTAACTCAAAGGGAAAATTAAAGAAAATGTGGCAGCACAAAGGTACTTGCCTTGTAAGTTTTAAAACAATAGAAATGCTTTTTAAATATCTGTTGAACGTATGCATAGATTTGGAACTTTCCAACAATAAAATGATGTCAAACTTGTTACAAGCGCAATAAAATCAACGTATTGATGTAAGTCAATTTAACGTGTAGTCACAAAGATCAACCATTTTTAAAATATACACTAAAGCTTACTGAGAAACCATCAGTTACGGCTCCTGAGACAGAGCCCCCCAAATTTTTCATTGAGTTAATGAAACCAGAAGCTTTATCTCCTAGAAGATCCACAGCATCACCTAATTTTCCTGCCATGTCATTCAAAGGTCCTTCCAGATATGTGTAGGGATTGGCAAGTGCAAGGTAATCCGAAAATGATGGATCAGCACTAAAATAGGAATAAATTAAAACATTATAAATGTTATATGTAAATATAAAACATTTAAATGTTCGGACAATTGTAACACACTACCGGACGTCATAGGAAATGCAGTCATTAAGAAGAAACAGCATTATCATTGAAATTAGTGTGAGTACCTTTAACCTACGAAATCCAGCAAAATTTGTGAACTTAGACCGGTTTGAGAAATTTTGAAGAGAGACATGGAAATGAAAGAACAAAATATATTAGAGAATTTTGCAAAAAAACTAACATAGCAAGAGCGCAAAGGGTCAACATTTACATTAAATGTTTCAACGTAAACTTAATTGATTATTTTGACGCCTTTATGAGTTGTTGCCTTAAAATTTAGTCGTAACAAAATATTCAAATCTTTACAAATACAACATATTTTCTGTATTTTCACTGGTATCTGGCCGGTGAACTTTCCTCTCAATTCAGCCAATCCACAAAAAGTGGAAAATGTACATAATAAACAGAAAATGTTTGGTATTCATTTTGTGGTATGAAAATTATCATATTTTATTCGTGGCTACGCTACTCATGAAATATTTTATTTACATATTACTTGATAAAAATAAATCTTGTATTTATAGAAAAAAACCTCCTGAATATCCTCTTTTTATATTACGAACAGATTAAAGTGATTTGCTAATGGAAGTGATTACATATACTATAGTACATATTTTGACGAAATAAATATTTTTCCTTTATGTCAATTTATATTTCTCTGCACGTGTAAATCGGGTCCTTTTAAGTAAAACAATTTAATCAGCCTTTTAAATTTACAAAACAAACAATATGTAAAATTCAATAAAAGTTAAGATTAATTTTATGAATAAAGGCAAGAATCTAAATTTTAAACCAATGACCAAGAGATAAATTGGCCAATATTCCATTATACAATTTATTTAATAAAAATACTTAAAGTGATACAATGCATCAGGATGGCTAACAGGCAGAGTCATTTTGGTGTAAAGGCTGACACGGGGATCATGATTTTGTACATATTCATTCAGTAGCTTGTTGTTTTCCTATGTGCATGATACGGTGTCAGTCTAGTTTATCACTCGGAATAAGTATATGTAACTTACTCTTTAGATGAAAACATTTACAACCCAAAATAACATGCTTTTTGTAAATTAAAAATTTACTTTTAATTTTGTAAGAAGAAGCTAACAGATAATATGAGGTTGGACACTTTATGGCCATTAAGTATGCCTACAGACCAATTCATATGAAGCCCTACAGGTCCCATATGAGCAAACTTAACAAAATGTTGGATAAGTCAAGGCAATTATACCAAAACATTTCAGTCCTTTCACATCGCAACCCCATATGTGATATATTCCTAAAGAATATGAAGATACCTGGCCACCAACTCGACAAATATAGTCATGTGAGCCAACTTCATATTGTCTGCGAAGAATGATATAGAATTGAGTCAAGACCCCATTTTACTAAAGCTACCCTCAATAAAAAGGCACAAAAGTAAACAATGATCTGTTATATATCATTTGTTGAATCTTACTATGTGTTTTTATGTATTTAATATTGCACCAGTTTTGGGATACCCTCATTATTATTATTATACAAAATTGAAAAAGAAACCAATGTTTGGCAATTCCATTCAAAATTTGCTTGTTTAAACCTGGAAAGAATTTTCGTGCATGCCGGTCGTGCATACAGAAAATATGTGTCAGGTATCAGTCCGAGTTGCATAATCTTATCGATCAGTCAAGCTCATTTTAATTTTCTCCATGATGCATATAATGGTCTCATTGGCCCCCCGTGCATCAAAATGGTATCATCACAAAAATCGACTTGCATACATGTTTCGTAACATTCAGTGAATTACTGAATTCAAAATTTATAGGTCACCTTTTGGTTGATAGTAACATTTAAGGACATGAATGGTGACATGTCCGGGGTCCGTACTCTCAGTGCCTGAAAGGGCGGATGGACCCTCATTAAGCCTAGAAAACATACATACATACATACATACATACATACATACACACATACATACATGGACGACTTAATGATCTTTCAATATAATTAGTACAGATATATATTTTACAGCCCTTGGCTTCTTACATTTAGCATTTTAATGTTAACTAAGCTAAACCCTTGTTCGATCATACTTCCGCTACGTTATAATTTCAATCATATCTATTGCAAAGGGGAACCCTGTAAGATAGGTATGTATTTTTGATTTATTTTCTTTTGACAAATCGTACTTTTGAAAACAACATATGTTACAACTTGTTCAACATACTTTGTAGGGAAAACTACGAGAGGATGACAATTTTCACAAGCGGGTGTTAATGCTCGTTTCTCGACATTATTTGCTTGCTTCTTCTGCAAAATATGGGAAATGGCATACACAAACAAAAATTAAATCTTTTAACCGTATCTAAACCTATGGAAAAGTGAAATTTTGTGATTTATTTAAGCAGAAGTGTCTGTTCTATCAACTCGGACAAGAAGTCGTAAACCACGAGCATGCATAATTTCAGGGTGAAAACGGTAACATCACCAAACAAGACTTAATTCAAAAAAATATTAGTTAATACAATAAATGCAAACACTGTCAAACTGTGGAAAGCTCTAACCGGGTAAAATTCGCGTAAATTTCTAAAAATTATTTGTGCCTTTTCAGCCATGATGGTTTCTGTATCATCAATTTTCATTGGATGAGCTGCATATTAGGCTGGCACACAAAATCAGGTCACATGTGCTTAAAGACATTTTCTACAGTTTTATGAAAATTTAAACCTTTCATAGAATTTTCTAAATTTTTTGTATGATGAGTAAAATTTAATGGCGAATTTAAAAATAAAAAGAAAAATATATGTTGACGTGTTGGATTTCTTGTAAAATGGCAGTTTCCATGGTAACTGTATATCACAAAACTGTCAAAATAGCCAAACTGTGTTTTAATAAATAGAAAATGTATAAGATAGCTTAAAACACACAACAAGCATTGTTTTATGCAAAGATAACCTTATCTAATGATTCTGTATGAAACAAATGATAATCTTAACATATTTCTTTAAAAATGAGTTTTCCATGTTCCTGAACCGAACAAAAAATGAGAAAAATAAACATGAATTCTGTGAATAGTTAAAGATATTGAAAAAATTCTTTCATAGGATTTTCTAATTTTTTTGTATGTTGTGTAAAATTTTATGACGAATTCAAAAATAAAAAGAAAAATATATGTTGACGTGTTGGATTTTTAAAAAAAATTGCAGTTTCCATGGTAACCGTATATCTCAAAATTGTCAAAATAGCCAAACTGTGTTATAAAAATGTATAAGACAGCTTATTACACATACAATAAACATAATTTTATACAAAGCTTGCTTTATCTTAGGGTTCTGTATGAAACAAACGATAATTGGAACATATTCTTTAAAAATGAGTTTTCATGCTTTTTAACTAAACAAAAAATGAGAAAAAATAAACATGATTTCTGTAAAAATATTAAAGCTATCAAGAAATTTCTTTCATAGGATTTTCTAATTTTTTTTGTATGTTGTGTAAAATTTAATGACAAATTCAAAAATAAAAAGAAAAATATATGTTGACGTGTTGGATTTTTTAAAAAATGGCAGTTTCCATGGTAACCGTATATCTCAAAATTGTCAAAATAGCCAAACTGTGTTATAAAAATGTATGAGTTTTTCATGCTTTTTAATTAACAAAAAATGAGAAAAAATAAACATGAATTCTGTAAAAATATTAAAGCTATCAAGAAATTTCTTTCATAGAATTTTCTACATAATTGATATATCAAGTAACATTTAATGGTGGATTCAAAAATAGAAATAACAATATATGTTGACGTGTTAGTTTTTTGTAAACTGGCAGTTTCCATGGTTACCGCATATGACAACTGTCAAAATTACCACACTTTTAAGAAAATATCAGTGTTATTACTAAATGATTGCAAATATACAACAAAAATGTTGTGTTTAAAAATTCTATTTCTTTTGATGTTATATTAAGTAAATGATACTGAATATGTTTTTAAAACATATTTAGGGCCATATATTTTTTTCACTGGACTAACATACCCGAACCACAGCTAAGTAGCAAGTATCAGAAATTTACAAAGAAAATAAGGAAAAATTCGGGAAACATTTTTTTTTATTTAATTTTTGTTTTTTTATTCAACACTTAAAATATATCATTTTAAAAACTTCTTTGCCCCAGTTGTCTGCCAGTTATAAAGTGGCGACGCATTTCGTCACTTATACACAAGTGGTGGGGTAACCGCGC